CCAATGAGCAAATCAACAATTTCAAAAGGGCATGTGTAGTAGAATAGAGGTGTGCTGGGTACTCTTGAGGTATGGAGAACAGACATCCAACTCAGCCTGGAAATCAGAGAGGGCCTCCTGGATGAGGGGGCCACAAATCAGTGTCCTACTTAAATTCTGTGCTGGGGCCTCAGCCCAGCCAGCTCTCCTGTCTTGTCTGTCCAATACCCTCCTTTCTACAACATGGTACCTTCTAGGAGGCAGAAGACTACCATCATGTGACAAGAACTCCTAAATGCAGGGAGTTCATGCTCCAATTTCTTAGAAGAAAGGCAACACAGAGGCTGAAACTGTCATTCCCATGACAGAATGATAGGCTGACAGAAGCAGTAAAGAGATTTCAGAGACTGTTAGTCATTGGCTGTCCAAAATCTCCCGGTCGTAGTGCCCATTGTCTGCTGACATTTAGACTTGGTCTTCTCAGGGTGATAAGAATAATTAATACACTTTTTTTCTGAGAATAATTAATATGCTGTTGTTTATTCGTAAAGCCTCCCAAAGACCAGGAGAGTGACAATTTAATAAATGCAACAATAAATGCAAACCAACTGCCCTGCTGTACTTGTTCTTGATTTTTTTTTGTTCCCATCTAAATACCTCAAGCAGTTTATTGGCATTAATTAATTTACTCAATACCCTTGGGTGAGACTGGTGAATATTAATATTATCCTTCATTTTTCATTTTACAGAAGAGAAATTGAAGCAGGGCTCTCCCCTAGGTCAAACTTCGGGACAAACAGTTAAGTTTCCTTGCTTTTCTGGATTCCTTGTTTATTCATTCTTCCTGCCTTTCCACACTCACTCGGCATCACCAGTTCCAGAGGCTCAACACTATGCCTGCCACCATTTCCTGGACTTGCCAGTCGGTGAGCTGCCAGTCTTTACCTGAACTGTGGCTGAGCCCAGCTCATCTGGTAAACTGACTTCACAGTCAGGGGTGGGGCTGGGGGAGTTAAGTGTCAGAATGAGCTCTGCCCCCAGCACTCACCCTCTTGCCTGTTTTCCTGCTATAGCGCAGCATGACCAGAAGTGCTTGCCTTCCAGGTTTGCCACATGGATTAACTAAAAGAGTATATAGAAACATAATTCTGGAGCCAGGCTGTCTGGGTTCAAATTCCAGTTCCCCACTTTGTGGCAGTGAAGCATTCTCTGTGCTTTGGTCTCAATTAGTGTTACCTGTAGTTATAATTCTTGGAAAAAGATGATGAGTTTAAAAGGACACACCATGTCTCTCGGGTTTTCCCCAGACTCAGAGTCACAGAACTGGGAGCAGTCTCCAACGTCATCTCGTCCAGGGATTGGCAAACTGCACCTGTGGGCTGAATCTGGCCCACTGCCTGTATTTTCACAGCCCACCAGCTGAGGATGTTGGGGGAAAAAAAATCGAAAGAAGACTATCTCATGCCATGTGAAGATTATACAAAATGCAAATGTCAGGGCCCAGAAATGCAGTCTTGTTGGAACGCAGCCACGTTCATTTATTTATGTGTTATCTGTGACTCTCTTCTTTATACAGCGGCAGAGGTGACTAGTTGCGACAGAGACTATGCAGACTGAAAAGCCGAACATGTTTACTCTCTGGCCCTTTACAGAAAATGTTTGCTGACCCCTGATCTAGTCCAACACAAGGTCATCAGCTTGAACACTTTCTGTGTTGGCAAGCTCCCTGTCGTATTAAGCCACCTCCTCTGTTGTCTGAGGAAGTTACCCACACAGAAAGTCTTCATCCTCCTAATTTCTCCCTAGTAATCCTAATCCTTTTATCTGGTTGATTCTTTGTTTTGGTTTTTTCTTCTTTTAACATTTTTTTAAATTGACGCACAGTTGATTTGCAGTGTTGTGTTAGTTTCTGATGTATGACATAGTGATTCAGTTATACATATATATATTCTCTGGTTGAGTCTTCATTCACATAACTACACTTCAGCCACACCCCATCAATTCTCTCTCATCTAGATTATCCATTCCTACACCTCTCAACTATGTCTTACTATTTCCAGACACCTCCCCATCCAGGTTACCTTCCTGTGAAAGGACATCTAGGCTGGGTCCACCCTTTCCTGCTCTCCTGAGCCCTGCCCTCTCTCTCTGTAAGACTCACTGTGCTGGTAATGACTGACTCAAGACCTGCCTTCCTGATAGCTTAGAAGCTTCACAAGAAGAAGGACCTTGTTTTCTTCTGTTTCCCTATATTCCCTGAAACAAGCATGATGTCGGATACTGCTGGCTCAATTATTTGTTGAGGGCCATTGAATGACTACTCTGTAATATATCTCTTAAAATATTACATTCAGAAATGTATGTAGTACTCCAAATGTCAACTCAGTTCTTCACTTCTATTACTGCTGCTCATGAACATAATATTCTTTTTATAAATAAATGATATATCTCATTCACATGGAAATTGTTGGCATATAAAACTCACCATCTTTTTTTGAGGTATCATTGATTTACAATATCATATAAGTTTCAGATGTACAACAGAGTGATTCACAAATTTTAAAGGTTATACTCCATTTATAGTTATTATAAAATATTGGCTACATTCCCCATGTTGTACAATATATCCTTATAGCTTATTTTATACATAGTGGTTTCTGTCTCTTAATCCCCTAAACTTATCTTGCCCCTCCTCTCTCCCTCCTCCCCACCTGGTAACCACTAGTTTGTTTTCTATATCTGTGAATCTATTTCTTTTTTATTATATTCACCAGTTCATTGTATTTTTTAGATTCTGCTATGTCATCATACAATATTTGTCTTTCTCTTTCTGACTTATTTCACTAAACATGATACCCTCCAAGTCCATCCATGTCACTGCTCATGACAAAAGCTCATTCTTTTTTATG